TCCTTAGGTTTCCAAAGCTGTAATTTTCATGGAGTACTGGTGTGGCACTGGGGGTTAATGTGCTGAACTGCTATGTCACTTTGAACCTCAAAGTCGGTGGTTCAAGCTCACAAGCTGTATGAGTCGGAACTGATTTGACAGCAGTTAACAACAACAATGTTCATGGAAACAGACTGCTTCATCTTTCTCCTGTGGAGTTCCTGGGTTTGAATGGGTTTGAACCATTGACCTTTTGGTTAGCAGCTCAGTGCTTAATCTACTGCACCCACCATAAGGACTCCTTTTTTCTTTTTCTTTTTTTTTCGGCTGTCTACCTGCTTCAGCTCTATTTGTTGAAATGAGACAAGATTATCCTGTCTGCACTGAATTGCCTTTATCAATTTTTCAAAGATCAATTGGCTATAATTGTGTGGGCCTATAGCAGGGCTCTTTGAATTGCTCCATTGATCTATGTGTGGGCTGTTGTTGTAGAGAACATGAAAGGCCAAACATATATGAATTCAACAATGTCCACATGTACATTTCAGTGACATTGACAACATGCTTCAGATGGTGCAACCATCCTCACTCTCTTTTTCTGAATGGTTCCTTCCGGTTGACATTAGTTCATTACTCCTGTGTTTCTTATGTAATCTGGTGGGTTGCTGTTGTCACTTTGATCCCACAGAGATAGGTCTTGAAAAAACAGAATGCTCAAGGCAGGCATTCTTCACTAGTTAACCTGAACTACTGTTTGCTTTTAAGAAGACTTCAGGGGATATTGTTAGTTTAAAGTTTAAAGGTGATCCCAGGGCAGTAGTTTTAAGACTTCACTCATCCTTCACAGCTTCAGGAAGTCGAGTCCATGAATTGCCACTCTGTCTTGATTACTTTTCAAGTTCAGTCTTGTGATTAGGTAGAGTGTGAGTCCTTCAGCTTTATTCTTCCATATTGCTGGCTATTCTAGGTCTTTTTCCTTTCTGTATAAATGTGAGAATCGCTTTTGTCACTATCTATGAAACGTTGGTAGGTGACGCCAAGTTGACTCTGATTCATAGCGACCCCTATGTACTACAGAACTAAACACTGATCCTGGGCTATGCTCAGAATTGTCATTACACTGGTCTCTCCAGATAACATGGCCAAAGTATAAGACACAAAGTCTCAGCATCCTGGCTTCTAAGGTGAATTCTGACTGTACTTCTTCCAAGACAGATTTGTCTGTTCGTCTGGCACTTTCTGTTTTCTTCTCCAATACCACAACTCAAGTGGATTAATTCTTCTATAGTCTTCTACGAAATAGCTTGCTGGAATTTTGATTGGGATTGTGCAGAATCTGTAGGTCAAGTTGGATGTGTTCTTATTTTAAATAACAGTATATCTGTGAGAGGAATCCTTGTGTGGCTCTGGATCAGCACTGGACTGCTAACCACAGGTTGGTGGTTCAAAACCACCAGCTGCCCCTTGAAAATCCTATTCAGGGTCTCTATGAGTCAGAACTGACTTGATGGCACTTAACAATAACAATGACAACAGTATCTATGAGATGAGCCCATGTTGGTGTGTGTATTGGTAATTCCTTTTTTTATAGCTGTGAATTATTCCAGTATGGTTTGTACCACAATCTTGTTTATCCATCCTTTTGTTAGACATTGGGATTTGACTTATAAATAAAGTTGCTAGGAATATTATTGCCTTTTGGTGGCAAGATGCCTTCATTTCTCTTGGAAATACACCCACAAAATGCTGGTTCATAAGGTAGATGTTTGTGTAGTTCCCACAGATATTGTTGAAGATTTTTTCTAAGTGGTTGAATCAAGTTTTAATCTTATTGACACCTTTCAACGTTTTCAGTCTAAGGACTTATGTCTCTTCCATTTCTGGGGAATCCCCTGTGGTTAGTTGTTTAGAATGAGTCATTCCTTCCAAAAATAATTATAAAGGCTTCTCCTGTTCAAGGTATGCAGGAAACCAGCGATGAGCATGAGAATAAGACATTCTAGTGACAGGAAGGGGCAATAAAGAAGCAAATAGATGCATGCTATAAGGACTTCTGGTGTGGCGCTGTGGGTTAATGCTCTGGACTGCAAAGTCGGTTTGGACTGTAAGGTTGGCAGTTCAAGTTCACCAGCTGCTCCTTGGACCTATATGGGTCGCTATGGGTCAGAACCAACTTGATAGCACTTAACAACAATAATAATTTCGTTCAGATAGTGATAACCATAATTACATATAATTAAGTTATAATAGTAATGCTAGCAAGAGATGGCTTCTAAGATGAAATTAAGGCAGGGATGAATGTAGCTTCTTATTCTGTTTTCTCTATGAATCTCATTACACCGCAGTTAAGATTCAGAACCTGTTCTTCATGTCTCTTTGGTGATGCTTCATTTTAATAGAGACTTTTATTGTGTTTTCCTTTTTAATAAGCAATGTTCTGCTTTCTTTAAAAATTTTTTATGGATGAAATAGTTTTTCCTATCTCTTGGGAGATACCATTCTCATTCCTAAATCCAGTCCAACTCTATCCAGTAGCTGTTTTCTCAGGTGTTGACTTTGGAGTTGGCTGTTCTTGCATGGAGCTGATCCATGGCCTCCATGGGTCATGCGCCATGACTCTGCCAATTTCAGGGAGGCTGGGAGGGGCAGGCTGGAATGCATTCAGGCCTGTTTTCTGCAAATGTGAGGCTGAAGAAGGCTTTCTGCCAAGGCGGCAGCCTCCGCTGCTAAGATTTCTGGGTGAGGGTGCTCCCTGCTCCTTCCAGGTATCTGCAGACACTGAGCATGATAACCCAAGGAACCCAATCAGAGCTCCTACAAGAGCCAGCAGCCCCATCCCCCACAGCCCAGGCTGCTGTCCAGTCCAGGGGAAATGGGCATCTGGAGATGCAGAGAATTCAGGTGTAGCTAGACATGTTGGGGTCCCTCTGTTTCTAGCCCACAAAAGTCCCTGTTTTCCAGTGCTGTGAAGGATGTAATTTAAAATGACTAGACACACACATTTAAAATTCACTTTTTTTGTTTTTTAAACATTTTTGGAGTTACAGAAATACTGCAAAAATAGTACAGCCAGATCCCTTATACCCTACACCCAGATTCCCTAATTACATCTTACGATGCAATCGGTATGTTGGTTACAATGTATCTCAGTTTTATCTACGTTTAGCTTCTGTCCCAGGAACCTATTCAGGACACCATGTTCCAAACAAATATCAGGGTATTTCAAAAAGTTCATAGAAAAATGGGATTGGAAGATAAAGGAATTATTCCACAAATGTTTTGAAGCTCTTTTGTACTTTTTTCTCCCTTCTATTTCAAGGACGTGGAGCAGGATGAAGGAGCCCTGATGGTACAGTGGTTAAGCACTTGGCTGCAAACACTCGGCAGCTTGAAGCCAACAGCTGTTCTGAAGAAGAAAGATGTAACAGTCTGTTCCCATAAGGATTTATAGCCTTGACAACCCTCTGGCAGTTCTATACTGTCCTCCGTGGTCACTGTGAACTGGAGTGGACTTGATGGCAGTGGGGTGGGAGCAGGATGAGGGGCCACAGCATGGACTCACACCAAGTTGTCATAGTGAAATTGAGTTTATTTTCTGTGGTCCAAGCAGACCTCAGGGACTTGGGAGTCCAACATCTTCAACCTCTGTCCGACTCCCTGTCTCCCTCCAGTGTGTCCTTGTCTCTTCTGTGAAATGAGGGCCTGGAGTTAGTTCCATCTGGGTGCTGTGTCCTGGGTGCTGTTCTGGAGCCGAGGGAACTACCAGGCTTGGTGGTGTCCCAGGTGTCAAGGCTGGGTGGGACCCGGATAGGTGTTTTAGCAGGGAAGACCTCACCAAGCTTAACAGGGAGGCAAGTATTCCCGTGTGGAGGACTCTTCTAGTCAAAGGTCAGAGGCTGGCCTTCCTCAGCTCTGGGACTCGATCTCCCCATCTGTGAGGGCCCTTCTACCTGGAAAGAGCCCAGGTCACCGTGCTGTCTCTGGAGGGGTGCGTCAGGACGGGTGATCCCATTGGGAGTTGCCAGGGGGTGGGGCGATGGCCCCATGCTGGGCTCTGAAAGATTTCCTGTTGGGTGAGGAGCCTGCCCACTTTGTAATGGCTGAGTCAGGGGCAGGAAGTGGTCCTATCCCCAGGCTAGGGCCAAGGCTGCCTGTGGCCCTGGGTTGAGGGAGTGGTTCAAAGGCTTCCAGGGTCCTGAGGAGAGCTCCCCAGGACCTAGCCAGCCCACTGCTTTCCTGATGCTGTTTTGAGCTGCTATTCAGGCAGTTTGGAGCTCCCAGGGGCATCCAAGTCTCCACTGGAGGGAGAGGAATTGTTGAGAAGGTGGAGACGAGTGGAAGAACTCTCCATATAGAGGATGTCAGACTTCTTTCTAGCCTCCACAGTCCTGGTTCCTCTTCTCTATCTGGTGAACTCTTACTCATCCTTCAAAGCCCAATGCAAAACTCCTCTCCCTGGTTGCACAGAACCAACCTGTATCATGGTCTACCTCAACCTGAATCATGCTAGGTGACTTCCGTGTCCATGTCCCCATCCAGCGGGGCGGCGGGATGGGACTCAGTGGCAGATGTGGTTGTCACAGACTCGTCTTACCTGTCCTTTGCGTTACAGAGGAAAAATGGACAAGGGAAGGGGTGTACCTGCACGTTGTCTTTCCTGAGCCCCTTCTCTTTACCGACACTGACTCATCCTTGTAAGCTCCATTCTCCCAAGAGGGAGTGATTGTCGCCGGCAGGTCGGTCCGAGACGCTGGACCTCGAGCGGTCTGCAGGCGGCAGCAGGGGCTCAGCGTAAATGTGGTTTCGACTCTGGCAGGTGGATCGCGGCCGAAGCAGCCCCCTGCGCTCTCCCACCCGAGGCTGCCAAGAGGCGACTCCGCCCGCCGAGCCCCGCCCATTCCGTGGGCACCCCGGCCCCGCCCCGCCCCCTGCCCCGGCCCCGCCCCCGCCTCCTGAACTTGACTCGCGAGGCGGAGCACAGGCAGGTGGATTGTCACCGACTCGCCTTGGCCGCAGCCCAGCCATGGGCAACTGTGCGGGCCGCAACGACTTCGAATGGGTCTACACCGACCAGCCGCACACACAGCGGCGCAAGGAGATGCTGGGTGAGCGCGGGGGGCGGGTGCCGGGTCAGCAGGGTAGGAGCGAGCCCGAACCAGGGTCGCCAGATGCTGGGTGAACCAGGGATGGGGCGTGGGCGCTGGGGTCACTGGGGTTGGGGCGAGTCTGGGCGCGATACTGAGTGAGCGCGGGATAAGGAACCAAGGACCATTCGGGGCGATCCTGGCATGGGGTGCGAGTGCTAGGGTACAGCAGAATCGGGGAGAGCCCGGCACTCCCGACATAGGTGAGCCGGGAGAGGGGCTCTGTGGACCATCATGATTAGGACAAGCCCGTGCCGGCGGGCAAGCCCACTCCCTTTGCACGCAGGGTCTGCCTGGGTCCAGCCCGAGTCCTAGTAGCCCGGTGTGACACTCCCCTCGTGCCCGCGAACTTGGGGATGCCACCGCGCAGGGACAACCCCAGGGCATCCGGTCCGTGTGCAGCACCAGCTCCCAGGTACCTGCTGTGGGCGAGGGTCCTGCTCCAGGCGCAGGGCAGGCTGCAAGACTGCAAAATCCATCCCCAATGGAGGAGTTCCCGGCTCAATAGACGCCAAGAAGGAAGCGAAGGTGGAATTACAGGATTCCCCTTTTTGTATTTTCTTAAGCAAGATTGTATTTAGGAATCCAGTGCGTTCTGTCGTATATCGTATTAATCAGTTCATGGTGACCACCTTCCCTGTAATTTAATGCCCGTGTGGTTCCCATGCCATACGATTCACCCTGACTCCTCGTCACCTGTCTCACCCATGGTGATGGATCTGTGCGGTGGAGTCGGCTCTGACTCTTAGCAGGCTCCTGGGTGCTACAGGGCTCCCACATTTACTAGAGGAACAACTTTCATTAAACAGGCCCCCAAGTCTCCTCAGCAGCATTGGCTGCTTGGGGCTTGCTCCCAGCGTAAGATTTTCATTCCTTTGCTGACACATTTGGGGTTTCTCCATTCTAGCCAACACTTGGGGGCCGCAAACCTTTTTGCCTGGAGTCTGGTAGCAATACTGTTTCATTGTTGGTGTAATTTACATTTATTTGATGGTTGGCTTTCATACTTTAGTTAGTTGGTTCTGTTTCATTATTTCTTTTATCTTGATCCTTTGCCTGTTACTGTGTTAGATTTTAAACTCTTAGCTGTTTTATATGCTGCAGATAGATCCCTCGGTTATAATTTACTTTTGCTGTCACAGTGGTTTTTGTTTGTTTTCCAAGTCATTGTTGTTGTTGTTGTTATGTGCCGTGGAGTCGGTTCCGACTCATAGCGACCCTGTACAGGGTTTCCGAGGCTGTAAATCTTTACGGGAGCAGAAAGCCTCATCTTTCTCCCGCGGAAACGCTGGTAGTTTCGAACTGATGACCTTGCGGCTCGCAGCCCGATTCGTAACCACTACGCTACCAGAGCTCCTTATTGGCCTTTTTTTTCACTTTGGTGTTTTCCTACCCCACACTGAATCTATGGTAATATTGACCTGACTTCATTTAAATCTTTCAAACACAGAATACATTTCATGGTGTATGCTGCAGTAAGTAGATGAAGTTAGGGGTCTGAGGCTGGAAATCCCTGGGTAGGTTTGTGACTTTCTGGGTTTCTCCTAAAAGACGAAGGGTGTTCTTGTTAGGCACCATCCAGTTGGTTCCCATGTACAACAGGACGAGACACTTCCCGGTTCTGTGCCAACCTCACAGTTACTGCAATGTCTGAGCCCATTGTTGCAGACACTGAGTCAATCTGTCTCGTTGAGGTCTTCCTCTTTTTTGCTGACCCTCTACTTTGCCGAGCATGATGCCATTTTCCAGGGACTGATCCCTCCTGATGATATGTCCGAAGTCTGAGATGTTTTCCAAAGAGGTGGGCCACAACCCAGCACTGAGGTCTCATGGGTGTTTGCATTCCTGTGAACTTTTTTTGGGGGGGTCCACCTCCTACTGACCACATGAGAAGGTCAGGTCCAAGGCAGGGCTGAGGCTGGAGTCAGGGAGGAAGAGGGCTCACTGCCCCCGGCCCCAGATAGAGAGGGCTGGAAGAGACACTGGTCTCCAAGGAACTTATGGTTCACAGAGCAGGAACCTGCACCTACCCTAAGCCACCTTGAGGGGTCCAGACCCTCTGAGCAGCAGCCTCACTGTCCCAATCTGAAAAATGGGCACAGCCATTCCTGGTTGGCAGAGAAAGTATGAGGTTGACTGAGATCTCAGATGGAAAGGTGCTCAGTACAAGGAAAAGGCTCTGTCTCTAAAGAGGAATGCCTGGGACCTTGGAGTCCATCCAGGTTGGGAGGACTTGGTGATGTGGAGGGAAGTGTCTTGTTGAGGGTCAGGGACCAGGCAGTGCACGCTCCCCACAGCTGACCCTCTGAGAATGGTGCACAGACCCCAGATCCCCTCTCCACCCTGGAATGGGGCTCTCACTTCCTCTGGGGCATCTGTGAAAGATCTTCCCTCCTGGGCCTCCTCCCTCCCTCCCTGCTTGGCTCACAGCCACCTCCTGCAGGAAGCCCACCTGGCTGTCCCTCTAGGCCGGGCTGGGTAAGGACCTTTCTCTGGGCTTCCCTCTGTGCTCAAGCCCACCAGGCTGTGTCTCTAAGTGGTGGGCTACAAAAGTCTAGAGCTTGTCTGTGGGGCCCTTTCCCTGGCCAGAACTCCCCAGCATATTAGTTATATGACCCTGGGTAATTCCCCAGGCAGATGAGGTGATGGAGGTGTGGACAAGTTCAATGTTGTTAGTAAATACTTCCGTATAAATGAGGTCACGGCCTTAGCCTGGTTCCAGGTCCAGGTGGTGTTGAGTCAGCTCCCATATATGGAGACCCCATGTGTGTCAGAGCAAACGTGTTTCATAAGGTTTTCACTGCCTGTGTGTTCTGAATTAGGGTGTCAGGGATTTCTTTCAAGGTATCTATGAGTAGACTCGGAGTCCTGGTGTGGCACTGTGGGTTAATGCACCAGACTGCAAAGCTGTTTGAACTGCGAGGTCGGCAGTTCAAGCTCACCAACTGCTCCTCGGAAACCCTAGACAGGGTCACTATGGGTTGGAGCTGACTCGATGGCACTTAACAACAACAACAACAATGGGTAGACTGAAACCTCAACTTTTCAGTCAGCAGCATGGTACACCATCCACTCAGGGCTCAAAAAACGTCGCTGTGAGTATCTTGATCTTGTTTCAAAGTCAGGCAGACCAGGCTCCTGAGGACAAGATTGTCTCTTCAATTCCGCTTTCCTGACACCTGTGCTGTCCCTGGCCCAAAGACATCCCCGTCTGCATCTCTTTGAGAAGAGGCACAGAGTGGGGGCCCAGGCTCACACAGCCTGGGGGCCCCAGTGCTGATACTTGCTGGAGCCAAAATGTGCTTTGGCCCCACCCAGGTGGCTGTTCACTCATGCCAAACTCCTGGGGCCCATTGGATCGTTCTGAAGATCCTAATCTCTGAGCCAGAACCCAGGAAGCATGTGCAGAGCTACTTCCAGGTGCACTTCAGGAGGGGCCAAAGTCCACAGCCAGTTCTGGCTCGGGTGGGGCAGGTTCCAAGGTGCATGGGGTCCTAGGAAAACAGGGTCCCTCTTCAGTCCCTAGGGCCCACATCTCTCAGTCCTGAAAGGATAAAAACAGCCTCATCAAAGACTAAGGCAGGTGTGGTCATGGGAGCTCAATGCAGGTTTTGCATTTGACTTCCCAAGACAGAAAGCTTTGTAATTTTTTTTTGTGTGTTTTTTTAAATTATGAGAGCGGGACACGTACATGCTGAGAATATTCAAATAATCAAAGAAAAACAAAAGCAGGAAATCAGGCGGCGAGGCTCTGGGTTGGATTGTTTGCTTAGGAAAGGCCTGGCTGGCAGAACCACGGGAGCTTCAGGGGGAATCTGTGGGTACTCCTTGTCACCTAGTCGTAGACAGGGTGGTCCGGGCACTCACCTTTGCCCCTACTACAGTCTGCATGTTAGCTTCATCTTGTTTCCACCATGACGGTCACAGACAGTTGTAGGCTTGTGTTGACCCAGCTCTGAGATCAAAGAAGAAAGAGAGGTGTCCCCCTGCCCTCCTGCCATGGGAAAGACTCTGAATGGCCTACTGGGAGCACAGGTGGACCTCGGGAACATTGTGGGTTTGGTACCAGAACACCGTAATACAGCAAACATTGTACTAGTGAGTCACATGAAGTTTTGGGCTCCCCAATGCCTGGAAAACTTAAACTGACATTAGCTTTCAAAATGTGGACTATGCATATTGTGATAACAACGAATATCTGACACAAAGCACACATGCTGTTGGGAATGGTATCAGTCCACTTACCCAAGGAGGCAGGATTGCCACAAACTTTCCATTTGTAAAAAAACAAAAACAAAAGCATTGTGCAAAATACAATTAAGTACCTGTAATGGAACTGTAATGGAGGCAGCAGTCAGGAAATCAAACGAAGTATTGCATTAGGCAAATCTGCTGCACAAGACCCTTTTAAAGTGTTGAAAAGCAAAGATGTCAGTTTGAGGATTAAGGTGCACCTGACCCAAGCCATGGTATTTTCAATAACGTCATATGCATGTGAAAGCTGGACAGTGAATAAGGAAGATCGTAGAAGAATTGATGCTTTCGAATTATGGTGTTGGAGGAAAATATTGAAAGTGCCATGGGCTGCCAAAAGAACCAGTAGATCTATTTTGGAAGAAGTGCAGCCATGGTGCTCCTTGGAGGCCCAGATGGCCAAACTTCGTCTCTCATACTTTGGACATATTGTTAGGAGGGACCAGTCACTGAAGAAAGATATCATGTTTGGTAAGGTGGAGGGTCAGAGAAAAAGAGGAAGACCCCCCAACGAGATGGGTTGGTCAGGTGGCAGCATCGATGGACTCAAGCGTGGCAACAATAGTGAGGTTGGCCCAGGATCGGGCAGTGTTTTGTTCTGCTGTGCATATGGTCGCTATGGGTTGGTACTGACTTGATGACACCTAACAACAACAACAACACCTGTAATGGAACTGTCCCTTGAGTCTCTTCATCTCTGACCAAAG